TGTGACCCTGGATCACAAAACCAGTCATAAGGGTCAATTTTTTAAAATTGAGATTTAAGCATCATCTGAAAGCTGAATAAATAATCTTTCCATTGATGTATGGTTTGATAGGACAATATTTGGCTGAGATACAACGATTTGAAAATCTGGAATCTGAGGGTGCAAAAAAATCTAAATATTGAGAAAATTGCCTTTAAAGTTGTCCAAATGAAGTTCTTAGCAATGCATATTACTAATCAAAAATTAAGTTTTGATATATTTACAGTAGGAAATTTACAAAATATCTTTATGGAACATGATCTTTACTTAATATCCTAATGATTTTTTGGTATAAAAGAAAAATCTATAATTTTGACCCATAAAATGTATTTTTGGCTATTGCTACAAATATACCCCAGCGACTTAAGACTGCTTTTGTGCTCCAGGGTCACATATAATCAAACTGACGGATGACATGTTTCATACCTGCTGCAGCTTTCTCCACATAGTTCAGCTCATTATAGAAGAGCGACACCTGCTGGTATTTATCCTTCACTACGTTTGCGATATAGTGCAGAAGAGTGATCTTGCGGTCTGTTGATTTAGTGTCTAATAACTGGAACAAGAAAACATGCAAACCCTCAAACTGCATGAGTTATTAAATCACAAATGAAGGACATATGTGTCGTTTTACTTCAGAAGAAGAATGCAACAAGATTAGATGAAATACTCCAGAGGTATTTGGTGCAACTTACTTTCATCAGCCATTTAAATCAATGTTATTATAATATTATTATTAAAATCTATCATGGTGGTTTGAATGTCCTATGCATGCTATAAATAACAACAAGGATTGCTTGCATTCCTAATTCATAAGGATTAACTTTAACAGTTTTAGTATGTAATGCTACGTAAAGTGTACCAGGTCTAAGCTCTGCAGTTTGAAGCCGTACACCGCTCCTCTTTTACTGCTGTTCATGTAGTTTCCCAGAGCCAAGATGATCTGAGAGAGAAACACACGCTCGATAAAGACACGCGTGCAGTCCAGAGAAAAATGAATCGGAGCAGAAGTGAAACACTTACTTCCAGAATCTTCTTGAGTTTTTGTGAGGACTTGATGGAGACAGATGCTGCGATAACTGCGTGAAGTTGCTGTTGAGACAAAAACAAAAGGCAATAACAGAAGCTGTGCAAAGGTCCAGCTGACCATTATATTTGTCTTCATTAAAACTAGCTACTTTTAAAGCTAGCTTAAAAAATTGAGTAGCACTTAACAACATTAGTTTACATGAAAAATACACTATTCATCTTAGTTAATGTTAATCTCAGCACTTATAAAGTATTACTAATACATAAGAAAAAAAAAAAGTAGTTTCTGAGCTAACATGATCTTAACAAAATACAGTTGTATTTTTATTCACTAACGTTATCAAAAATCAATATGTACTGTAACAAATGTCTCGTTGCTAGTTAATACATTAAAATTTGTATTTGTATTGTAAGTGTTGCCAAAAATTGTGACACATCCAAAGTGATGTCATATGCACCAATTCAACTGTATGCTACAAGCAAGCATTTTTTAACTCATTTAATTTTTTACTTTTTTTTTCCACATATTGTAGTGTTGACTGCGCTTGTCAAGCTCACCCGTTATTACAAGAAACATCACTGAACACAGTAGTATTTAAGTATTTATCTTTCATTTGTGAGTAATATAAGATCATATGTAACTACAAACCAATATTTGGTTCTAAACTAGCTAAATCTAGAGCTTAAATAAATTCGACATTTTATTAAATAAATTTAGGTAAATTAAATAAGCTTAGATAATTAGATAAGCTTAAATAAAAGTGACCCTGGACCACAAAACCAGTCTTAAGTGTCAATTTTTCAAAATGAAATAAATAAGCTTTCCATTGATGTATGGTTTGTTAGGATCGGACAATATTTGGCTGAGATACAACTATTTGAAAATCTGGAATCTGAGGGTGCAAAAAAAATCAAAATATTGAGAAAATCGCCTTTAAAGTTGTCCAAATGAAGTTCTTAGCAATGCATATTACTAATCAAAAATTAAGTTTTGATATATTTACAGTAAGAAATTTACAAAATATCTTCATGGAACATGATCTTTACTTAATATCCTAATGATTTTTGGCATAAAAGAAAAATCAATCATTTTGACCCGTACAATGTATTTTTGGCTATTGCTACAAATATACCCCAGCGACTTAACACTGCTTTTGTGCTCCAGGGTCACAAATTATTAAATTTTTCTTAAGATTATGGATCTTTTACCTTATTTTATAACACATTTTGAGTTGTAAGAAAACATGGTTTTGCACTGTATTAATGGAAAGCATCATGTGAAGAAGGGTTATGAAAGAATTCAAGACACAGTGAGAGGTAAAGAAACAGGTATTATGGAAAAATGAGGAGATCCTTGGGCATGTCTTAGTTCTTTAAATTTGCCTGGAAGATTTGGAGCGAATACTAGAAAATCCTGCTTAATTCTTGAGCAAACGTGCTGTCAGCTCTTACGGGTGTGAGCATCTGAACACTTTCTGTGAAATTGCCCACGAACGCCAAGATGGTCATCTTCTGCATGAGACGCTCGATCTTGCTGAAGTGGACCATGAAGCGATCCTCATCCGTCAGGTTCTCCAGAGGTTTGCGCTCCTTCTCGTACTGCCGGAAAACTTTCAGCTCTGCTTCCGTTGGAATGAACCTCATCAAACACTCCACGAAATCCACCGGCAACGTCCGCAGGTCAAGCCTTACACACACACACACACATACACACATGTTGTGTTTCCATGTTTTATGGGGACATTCCATAGGCGTAATGGTTTTTATTCTGTACAAACTGTATTTTCTATCGCCCTACACCAACCCTACCCCTAAACCTACCCCTTACAGGAAACTTGTGCATTTTTACTTTCTCAAAAAAACTCATTCTTTATGATTTATAAGCTTGTTTCCTCATGGGGACCTCAAAAATGTCCCCACAAGGTCAAAATTTACTAGTATTACTATCCTTGTGGGGACATTTGGTCCCCATAACGTGATAAATACCAGGTACACACACACACACGTACGCACACACACAAACACACACATGCACGCACGTGCACGCACACGCACACAAACACAGACAGACAGACACACACACACGCACACAAACACAGACAGACGCACACACGCACGCACGCACGCACACACACACACACACACACACACAGACACACAGACAGAGATCAAAGCATTATCCTCATCAATCCGACGACCTTCTCTATGTTCACATAGCTGCAGTTTTCAGTCCCGTTTGGAGCCAAATTTCATGGTTAATCATTAAAAAAGAAATTACAAATGAAGAAATATTTTAAACTATTTCTAGGGATGTTGGTGATCTTTTCTGCTGTATATACTCTAGAATGTCGGCTGTGAATTACATTTGAATGGCTCTGCAGATCTCCTCTGATGTCTTGCCCACTTTTCTGAGCGTGATGGCCAGGTTTTTGGCTCTGTTGGAGTCCAGCAGCGAGACTTTAGTTGGTCCTTTCTGAGAGGTCTTCTGTTTGCTGGAGGTGATGTCTACGGCAGGCCCCTGTGCTTTCGTCTTAAACATCTCCTCAAACTCATCCACATTCAGATCCTGAAAAGACAAACCACAGTCACTATTCACCACGAAACTCACTGATCTATAAAATAACAGCCAGCCTGGAATCCTAGCAAATCAACATGGAGCTAAAGAACAAGCCAACAATTCAAGTATATAAAGAAAAACAAACCGGATTTAATACAGTCAGGGCCAAATATACACAATGTCCTCACATTGGGTCATTCAACACCCATGTAAATATCTGTACTATATACAAAAATGTTTTGGGTCTGTAAGATTTTTAAATGTTTTTGAATTATTCTGATGCTGCATCTATTCGATCAAAAATGCAGTAAAAAACAACAACAACAAGAATAATGTGGTGGAACATTATTATAATCTGTATTTAAATAAAATTATTTAAATAATAACTTAAATGTCATGCATTTCTGTGATGCAAAACCGATTCTTCAGCATCATTACTTCAGTCTTCAGTGTCACATGATCCTTAACAAATCATTTGAATATGCTGATTAGGTGCTCAATTAACATTTCTATTGACACCAGTGTAGAAATGGTTGGACTGCTTAATATTTTGTGGAAACTGTGATACATTTTTTTTTAGGATTCTTTGATGAATAGGAAGTTCAAAAGAACAGCATTTATTTAAAATGTATTTTGCAACAATGTCACTTTTGATACATTTTATGAATCTTTGAATCAAACAAAAAACATTTGAATGGTAGTGCCTTAAAAGGATGCATTTATGCATCCGAAGCTAAAGCACACATGGGATCTCATCAATGTCTTAATCGGTTTTTCCTTGAGAGCATTGAAATCAAACAAAGACTAGCTGAGATGGACACTCTTCTCAGACGTTTCTCCTGAGAAAAAGACATCTCACGTGTCTCCTCTAGAGTTTCAAATAAGATCTGTCTCAAACTGTGCTCAGAATAGATACTTCCATGATCTGAGCTTTTCTTACTACAGTTTTTTTTCAACTGCTTACACACATTTTCAAAACTTCACACACAAATCCAAGAATTGCACACACAAAATACAAAATGCCTCACATCTCTTGCAAAATGAAACACTGCATTCAAAATATCACAAACACATCTCAAAAGCAAACATTTGCAAACATCTTTGCCATAATATCAATTCCTGTTAGTGTTTTGTGTGTTACATAGAGAATTGTGTGTTGTGTTTTGCAAACCCTTACGAAAAAGAAGTTTATTCAAGTGTGCTATTAATATACTTCTTTAGTTCAAAAGAACAGCATTTATTTAAAATGTATTTTGCAACAATGTCACTTTTGATACATTTTATGAATCTTTGAATCAAACAAAAAACATTTGAATGGTAGTGCCTTAAAAGGATACATTTATGCATCCGAGTACACATTGTAATGCATCATAATTATATCCTCTGATGTAATACATTATAAGAATAACCCATTCAGAGTTAATCATGTAAAGAATATCATAAATTACAGCATATAAAACAAAACTGGGAGTTGAACCTGATCATGTATTATACAGCAACATATTACGCATGAATTATGAAACGAATGCACTTTAATGCATCATATACTGTGTATCACAAAAACAAATGTTTTGACCAAGTCCAAACGTGTTTCAATGTTTTCAAAACCGTGTCTGTCTCACCTCCAGTATTCTTTCGTCATCGATCTCGTTGAACACAGTGCCGTTGATCTGATTGGGCTTCAGCGCCACCCAGTTAAACACCGGCATGCGGAACTTAGTCTTGATGGGCTTCTTGATCTTCACAGCTACACACATGACAGAAAGCACACGTCAACAACCTCATGCCAGTCACACAAACACAAGACATGCAGTCCGAGTGACGAACAGCAGGAACAGATCTGAACGTGTCCGGTGCACATTTGTGAGGGAACGTGAAACCTTTGATACTGTCAGCCATATTGGATTTGCGACTCTATCTCCGTTTTGTTTATCATTCTGAATCCAATTCATAGTCTTTTTATCAGCTTTTTGTTCAAAATGTTATTTCTTTATTTTTTATTTATGAAACTTATACCTCATGCCAGTCACACAAACACAAGACATGCAGTCCGAGTGACGAACAGCAGGAATAGATCTGAACGTGTCCGGTGCACATTTGTGAGGGAACGTGAAACCTTTGATACTGTCAGCCATATTGGATTTTTGCCGATGCCGATATATCATTATTTTATATTTTGGTTAGTTTTTAACAAGAACTTATTTTTTAGAATTAAATAAACAATAATAAAGTTATTTTATAACAACAGTATAAAATACTGTGAAGCTTTGAAAATAACTATAAATAAACTATATATTAATCCCTGCATTTTTTCCCCCAGAAAGATGCAGTGGTAACCTTAACATTTTATTTTATGATTTAACATTTGTAAATGGTCTAAAGCAAAAGACTGAAAATCCTTTAGAGCTCATAATTTGTTTAAAATATAACATATTACACATTAATGATTATAAACCGGAGAGTTCCGGTCCTTGATTCTGATTGGCTGAGCCGCGTTCGAAGCTGTTGTAAATTACTCTACAAACATACACC